TCGGAAACACTGGTTTGAAAGAGTGATGGTTTAGAAGTATCCTGATGCCTTCTCGGCAGCTCGCACCTGTTGTCAAAGTACTGTTGCTGTTCCGTTCCAGCTGAAGTTTTCGGATGGTTTTCAAAGACAACGCTTTCAGATCTTTTAAGTCTTTTAAGGTCCTTGACCCCTGTAACCAAGCCGGGGGGGGGGGGGAGTTGCACCATTTCCTGGAAGTTTGTTATGGTGCTACAGGCTGGCTTAAGCATAGAGTTCCTTGATAAGAATGTGAACCAGGGGTAGGTAACCTTGGCTCTTTTATGACTCGTGGACTTCAACTCCCAGAATTCCTGAGCCAGCATGACTCAGCATGGAAACCTCTCCCTTTCCCCTCAGCATGGCTGGCTCAGGAATTCTGGGAGTTGAAGTCCACAAGTCATAAAAGAGCCAAGGTTGCCTACCCCTGATGTAAACCCTACAGTGAGGAATTACAGGAAGTCTTCGGCTTACGGCCACAACAGTTGAGCCCAAACCTTCTGTCGTTAAGTGAGTTTTGCTCCATTTTACGACCTTTCTTGCCACAATTGTTAAGTCAGTCACTGCACTTGATAAGGTAGTAACCCAGCTGTTAAGTGAATCCGGTTTCCCCATTGACTTTGCTTGTCGGAAGTTAACAAAAGATGGTCACGTGACCCCTCAACACTGCAACCGTCATAAAGATGAGTCAGTTGCCAAGCATCTGAATTTTGATGGTCACCTGGCCATGGGAAATGCTGCAATGACTGTAAGTGTGAAAAATGGTCATAAGTCACTTTTTTTCAGTACCGTTGTGACCGGACACTAAACACGCTGCTGTAAGTCAAGGGCTATTTGCACACTACATTTCTCCGTTTGCTTTCCATCGCTCTGATTTCTTGGGCAACGCTGGGATTTATAAAATATGGCTCTTTTTGTGAGTATTGCATAATGAGAGCTTTTTTTAAAAAAAAAAAAGTCCCTGATTGTGTGGATAGCAAGATTTCAGTCACTGCAAGAAAGCTAGTAAAGTTGGGGCGTGGGAGGGGGGGATACTGTATGTTGATAATGTGAGTCCAGGCACTGCCACTTGCCCAGTTTAAGCCTTTTGTTGTTGAAGTGGCTCCTAGATTAATACAAAAAGAGCTAACTGATTTTGAACATGGCAGAAGAGGAAAGACAACAGCCAAGCCAAGGAGGTAGCTGCAGGGCAGATTTTTCGTGCGCTCCTTTCTACCAAGTCGTCATCAAACGTTTTCTGCTCTCGCCTTATTTCCTAAGAATAGCGATTTGCATAGATTTTTATTTTTGATACCAGGCTGCTGCTGGTAGGTTTTTCCTCATTTCTCTGAAGAATCTGATAGTAATAATTTCTGTGCTCAATCAAGATGGTTGTGGTTTCCTGAGCACTCCAGTTCTTTGACTTCCTTGTCTTAAATAAGTAACCTTGGTGATTTGGAGAGTTTCTTCTATGAGATGATATATAACAGGGGTCTTCAAACTTGGCCCTTTTATGGCTTGTGGACTTCCAACTCCCAGAATTCCTCAGCCAGGCGTGCCTGGCTGAGGAATTCTGGGAGTTGAAGTTCACAAGTCATAAAAGGGCCAAGTTTGAAGACCCCTGATGTGTAAGAAAGTGGCTTCGCTGGCTTCAAATGGACCAAGCCATGGAAGTCATGGGGATCAATGTCTATTAGCCCTATGAAAGTCATCTGGGGGGAGCAGTGGGCTGGCTGGTGGAATTGGTTGACCCCTGTGAAAACAGACTGCTGCACCAGGTAGACCAGGAGTTTGGTCCAGCAGGGCCCTGATCATATCTTTTACGTGTACTGCTTGACTTATAACCATTTGTATTACAACCAAAATCATTTAGCGACTGTTTGAAGTTGCACTGTCCCTGGAAAAAATGACTTACAAGAGGTCCTTGCATTTACAACCTTGGCCGCATCCCTACAGCTGCGTATTCAAAATTACCATGCATTCATGTTGTGCAACATTCTGGTGCTTGGTAACCAGCGTGTACTTAAAATATGCACCATATTTGTGAATGTCCCATGCAGCTTCCAACAAGGAAAATGGGGGGGAGGGGGGACTGGATTCACATAACAATCGTATGATTTAATAACTACATTGACTCACAACTGTGGCCAGAAAAAGGTTGAAAAATCGGGCAACTCGCTGTCCTACCTAGCAATGGAAATTCTTGTCCCAATTGCTATCGTAAGTTGAGGACTACCTGCTTGTTCTTCAGTTTCTGCCTGGTGGAAAGAGAATCACCATGACTGGATAAAATAAAGATCACGTGAAATGTTAGTACAGGTAGTCCTCAACTTACAACCAAAGTTGAGCCCAAACTTTATGTTGCCAAGTGAGAAATTTGTTAAGTAAGTTTTGCCCCCATTTTACGACTTTGCTAGCCACAGCTGTTAAGTGAATCACTGCAATTGTTAAATTAGTAACATAATTATTAAGTGAATCTGGCTTCCCCTTTGACTTTGCTTGTCAGAGGAATGCAAAAGGTGATTAAATATGTGTTACTTGCCAAGCATCTGAATTTTGATCACATGACCATGGGAATGCTGCAATAGTTGTAATTGTGAAAAATGGTCTTAAGTAACTTTTTCCAGTGCCATCGTATCTTCGAACAGTCACTAAACAAACTGAGGACTACCTGTACCACTTTATAATGCTTTGGTAAGACCACACCTGGAATACTGCATCCAGTTCTGGTCACCATGATATAAAAAAGATATTGAGGTTCTAGAAAGAGTACAGAGAAGAGCTCTGGAGGTTAAAACATACAAAGAACAATTGCAGGAATTGGGTATGTTTAGGTTAATGATAAGAAGGACTAGAATTGACATAATAGCAGTGTTCCAATATCTCAGGGGCTGCCCCAACAAAGAGGGAGTCAAGTTATTCTCCAAAGCACCTGAAGGCAGGACAAGAAGCAACAGATGAAAATAATCAAGGAGAGAACCAACCTAGAACTAAGGAGAAATTTCCTGACAGTTAGAACAATACGGTGCTGGAGAAGACTCCTGCGAGTCCCCTGGATTGCAAGGCGATCAAACCAGTCAGTCCTAGAGGAGATCAACCTCGACTGCTCTTTAGAAGGCCAGATCCTGAAGTTGAAACTCAAGTACTTTGGCCACCTAATGAGAAGGAAGGACTTGCTGGAGAAGAGCCTAATGCTGGGAAACATGGAGGGCAATAGAAGAAGGGAACGACAGAGAATGAGGTGGCTGGATGGAGTCACTGAAGCAGTAGACGTGAGCTTAAATGGACTCCAGAAGATGGTAGAGGACAGGAAGGCTTGGAGGAACTTTGTCCATGGGGTCGCGATGGGTCGGACTCGACTTCGCAACTAACAACAAGAACAATAAACCAGTGGAATGGCTTGCCTCCGGAAGTTGTGGGTGCTCCATCACTGGAGGTTTTATAGAAAAGATTGGACAACTATTCGAAATGCTATAGGGTCTCCTGCTTGAGCAGGGGGGTTGGACTAGAAGACCTCCAAGATCCCTTCCAACTCTGTTATTCTGTTAATCCTAGCCTCAGGGTCTTTGTTCTCTTAATGTCTTTTACCCTAAAGCAGTGGTTCTCAACCTGTGGGTCGGGACCCCATTTGGGGTCGAACGACCATTTCACGGGGGTCGCCAAACAACGCAGTCCGCCATTTTTTCCCCCTTTTCCTTAGCTGTGCTACTCCCTTTTATTCTATTGGCTTTTGAAAGCCAATAGAATAGACTCTCTTGAATAGAGTCTAATTCTATTGGCTTTCAAAAGCCAATAGGAATTGTCCAGGCTGTCTGTGCCCTGCTGAGCCCGCCAAAAGTCCCCTTCTGCAAACGGTGCTGCACCAGTTGAGTAGTCCTCGACTTATGACCGGTTGAGTAGTCCTCGACTTACGACCGGTTGGGGGTCGCGGCATTAAAAAGGTTGAGAACCACTGCCCTAAAGGGACTTGACATAATTTTCCATAGAACATACTCCCTTCAGGCCGTACCAGGGCCTGTGTTTCTTCAGAATTAGCAAGGTGACGGCATCAGTCCTTCTTGGAAATAAAGTGCTATCATCTCCCTGAAAAGCAGCAAAAGGGATACATAATCTTTTGAAGATAAAGTCATTCAGCTTGTCCATCAAAAGAGCACTACTTTAAAAAAAAAAAAAAAAACAAAACAGTAGCCCTTTGTTTCAGGGTGGGGAAGTACTGTGCTATTTTTTCCTGTCCCTGGAAGTTAATTGCTCATGTAGTGTAAATAAATGGATTTAGTCTGCAAGTTTCCAGGGTGAGGATTAGGTCGCAAAAGGGGATCACATGATCCCGGGGCACGACAACCGTCAGAAATATGAACACTTGCCAAGAGTCTGAATTTTGATCACGTGGCCGCGGGGGGGGGGGCTGCAGTGGTCGTTAAGAGTGAAAACGGCCGTAAGTCGGCTTTTTTCAGTGCTGTTGTAACTTTGAACGGTCACTAAACGAATGGCTGTAAGCCGAGGGCAACCTGTATTCACCGCACGGTGGATGCTGTGCAGCTTCCTGGGGCTAAATATGGAACTGTTGCCTTTGTTTGCTTTGCTTTTGTTTGCTTTGCAACCCCTACCTGAACGGCTGTGATCTTCATAAAACAACAGCTTGGCTTTAAAGAAACGGGAATGGGCACTTTTCCTGCCAAGGCGGAAGGAGTGAAGGATTCTCCTTTTGTTATAAGTGCCACTCCAGCCAGCTAAGTCACTTGGCAGCTCACAGGAGTGGGCCTGCAGCGGGCCTGCAGCCACAGAAGCCCACCGGTGTTTCTGTCCCTCTTGTTCCTTTGGTACGTCTCTCCCCATCAAAGATCACACCACCGGAGAAATTACCCACAAGGACAAATCAGGCCTGGCAGTCCTTTGAGGCCTACCTGAAAGGGCTTGAACGGTACTCTGCCTGCCAAGAATAGCAAACGTTATGAGGATCATCTTTGCCAGCATCTAATATTTCTTCCCTTTTGTTTGTTTGTTAGGTGCCTTTAAGTCAGTTTTGGATTCCTGGCAACTGCATGGTTCCTGCAGTTCTCTCGGCAAAATTTCAGAAGTGGTTTGCCATTCGCTCCTCCTTCCTAAGGCTGAGAGAGAGAAAGGAACTGGTCCAAAGCCACCCAGCCAGCTTTCATGCCTAAGGCAGGACTAGAAGTCACAGTCTCCTGGTGATTGGCCCAAGGTCACCCAGCCAGCTTTGATGCCTTAGGTGGGACTAGAACTCACGGCCTCCTGGTGATTGGCCCAAGATCACCCAGCCGGCTTTGATGCCTTAGGTGGGACTAGAACTCACGGCCTCCTGGTGATTGGCCCAAGATCACCCAGCCGGCTTTGATGCCTTAGGTCAGGGCTTTTCAACCTTTTCACCCATTGTACCACTTTTGGGATATGGCAATATCCGAGTACCACCAGTCGCCCAGCAAGGTATCAAAAACGTGATGACCCCCCCCCCCCCCAAAAGGAAAAAAGTGATAAAATACAGGTAGTCCTCGACTTACAACAGTTCACTTAGTGACTGTTCGAAGTTACAATGGCACTGAAAAAAGTGCCCACCAAGCCACAGCCAAGCAAGACACCTGCCTGCCCACCTGGTGGTGCTCTTCCTCCTGTCCAAGGTTTTCATTGTGAGCATTTCTGTTGAGGATTGGCAGCGGGGATGGGGTGGAAGTGTTTGGTTTTTATTCCCCCCCCCCATCTGCTGGGTGGTTGCAGCAGGTTTTGGTCACTTCACATGACCCTGGGACACTGTGACCATCATAAATATGAATCAGTTGCCAAGCATCTGAATGTAAATCACAAGACCCTGGAGATGCTGCAACATTTCAGCTGATCAGCACTTCTTCTGGGCTCAGCAGAAGCGCCAGGATCAGTGCTGCTTTCCAGCTGATTGGTGCTTCTTCAGGGCTCAGCAGAAGCACCAGGATCAGTGCCGAGCTCCAGCTGGAGCCTGGCGCTGATTCTGGTGCTTCCGCTGAGCCCTGACAGCCCTGCAGCTCCAGACATCTCTCACTCAGGCTTGTGCGGTGCTGCCACCGGTTCAGCTCATTCCTCTCCCCCTCCTACCACTTTTCTAGGATGCTCGCGTACCACCTACCAGGTGCCAATGTACCACAGGTGGTACCCGTACCACTGGTTGAAAAGCCCTACCTTAGGTGGGACTAGAACTCCCAGTCTCCAGGTGATTGGCCCAAGATCACCCAGCGGGCTTTGATGCCTAAGGTGGGACTAGAACTCCCAGTCTCCGGATTTCTAGCCTGGTGCCGTAACCACTACAGCAAATTGGCTGTCATCAGCTACCACCAATAGAAGGAACTTTCCTTTTATATTGTCATGCTGCAATTCCTTGTGCTGTAAATGTCAACAACAAAGAGCAAAAATTCGTTTACACTTACCTTTAGCAAAGCTTGTTTTAATGTACTATATTATCTATATCTAGAAAATAGATATATTCATCTATATTAACGAGTCCGAGTGCATTGATCTTCCAGTAGTTTTGTTTTTATGACAGCCTTTGGAAACTATTACTGCTGACCTTCAGTATTGTACTCTGTATTGAGATATAAGGCTGGCTAGAGAATTCTGGGAGTTGAAGTCCACAAGTCTTAAAGATGCTAAGTTGCCCACCCCTGATATGGGCCCACCACTTCAAAGGTTCCTAAGCAGAAATGTTTTATTCTACGTTACTTTTAGATGAAAGTCTGAATATAACTAAAACGGTTGCAAAGTTCTTGCAGGCAAGAGCCACGTCCTGGTGCTGCATATTTGTTAACCTGTGTCAAGCCAATGTTGTTTATTTAAAATCGGCTTACATGATGGATTTTATAGTGCTGTCTTGCATTTTTTTAAATGTATATTTATTTTAAAAAATATATTCATAGGATAAAAGACAAATTGAAAAAAGAAGAGAAAAAAACAAAAAAGCGCAAGGGATGAAAAAGGAAACTAAAATTAAAAGAATATACAAATGATTCCCAACCTTCTTTTCAACAATTACACTCTTACTATTCTCCCTTTCTGTTAGATATTCTACAAGCCCTTCCAGCCTCTTCCAAAATTCACATCTTTCTTAATCTTCCAATTTTCATTATTATACAAATTAAATCTTTTAAATTTTATTTCAAAATGTCTGTACAGGTAGTCCTTGACTTACAACCGTTCATTTAGCGACAGCTCAAAGTTACAACAGCATTGGAAAAAGTGATTTATGACTAGTTTTCATACTTACGACCATTGCAGGTTCAGGTGCTTGGCAACTGGCACATATTTATGACAATTGCATTGTCCCAGGTTTATGTGATCACCACTTGTAACCTTCCCAGCTCACTTCTGGCAAGCAATAAAGTCAATTGGGGAAGCTGGCGTTGCTTAAAAACAACTGCGTGCATTCGCTTAACAACTGGGGCAAAAATGTTGTAAAATGGGGCAAAATTCACTTAACAGTGCTTAACAATGAAAATTTGGGGCTCAAATATGCTTGTAAGGTGAAGACTGTATTCAAAAATAACAGTTTCGGTGTTTTTCCTGAGCTGGTAGTTCTCAGAATTTGCTATTTCTTTGAATTCTGACATATTCATAATTCTGACATATTCATAATTCATTTCTCTTCTTTTGGGGATTTCATGATGCTTCCATCAACATTTTACTGCATTGCATTTCAACTGTATGTCTTGATAAAGTTCACTGTTTTCAGTAACTGCAGTAGGTTGGTGAGCATTATGACGTAGCAATGGCTCTTAGGTCGTTTATTGGATCCCTCCTCTGGGTTTTCCCACAAGATCACAATAAGTCCACCCTGACTTCTTGGGTTATTTGGGGGGGGGGGCGCGAGTCATTCTCACTCATCCCAACCAACCTCACAGGTTTGTTGTGCAGAAAAATGAGAAGATTGTGGAACATAATTCTAAAAATAATAATAATAACATTGAACAATTACTGTATGTTTTCTGAACGGTATCTTTGAGGTTAATCTGTAATTACACTCCGTTTTCTTCTCTTGCTTTTTGCAGATTTTGGAATAGTGCACAATGGCCAGAGAAAGTCCCGTTAGATAAGTGATGGAAATGACATGATTGAATCAGAAAGAGTGATGTAGAGATGGAACAGTGCTTAGCTGTGCATAGAGAGCTGGGTTAGATTGCCTTTTTGTCTTTCTGTTCCCCAGTTCTTTAGATACAGTAAACATTTGCAAGATTTATGTATTCATTTATGTATTTATTAGATTTTTTACCTTGTCTTTATTTATTTGTTTTTCACATTTCTGAACCACCCATCTCCTCAGAGAGATTACTTAATTTGTATTACTTTATAACTGACTCCAGGCTGCAAGCTTATATAATGCAGGTAGTCCTTTCAACCATTCATTTAGTGACTATCAGAAGTTACAACAGCACTGAAAAAAGTGATTTATGACAGATCTTCATGCTTAGAACTGTTGCAGCATCCCCACAGTCATGTGATGAAAAGTTTGGACTTGGCAACTGCCATGTTTTTTTTTTTCTTAAGGTGTTCCAAGGTAAATGAATCAGTGGCTGCTTCCAGTTAGATAAAGTTCTGCTTGTTCTTCTGCTTTTGTCAAAACAATTCCAAGAAAACACAGCTCTCTTTACTGAAAGCTTGGAGAGTCATTTAAGCAATGGAGTCTAACTCTGCCCAATAATAATCCATGCATTGTTTCAGAGATATTTTCTTATCTAAACAAAGAAACAGAATGACCAAAGCAAGTGACTTCCGACTTCCTGCTGACTTCCCCACTGAGTCTTTGTGGGAATCCATTCCCCTCCCCTTCGCAGCAGTCAGTTAACTGGCTGCTTCTAAATGGGTGAGCAAGTGAGGGATTGCAAGATTGGCTGGGAAATTGCCACAGAATGTTGAAAATGTAAGTCATGTAACTGCAGCACAACACAGCAGTGCAGCAGTAGCGTCCAGTAGCACTGAAGCAGCCACAGCTTTCCCAAATGTCATTCCCTAAGGGGTCATGGGCCCTGGATTTTTATTTTTTTATTTGCTAAATTGGACACCTGCTGTAAGTTAGCCCAGATTCAAGTTCCGTTTGCCTTTTTTGCAAGCCCATCATATTAGCGCCTCATATTCAGTTTTTAGAGGGTTTTTACCTAATACGTTGGCCATCTTTAAGTTTCCAAATAATGGCATTTATCCAAGTTAGCATTAGAAACCGAATATAGGATTGGACAATATTTAATTTGGTAGATAAGGATATGAAGACCAGTAGTCTTATTTATTTCTTTAGTGGTGATGTTTCTCTTTTTCTTTATTTTCCAGTTTCCTCTTATTGAAATTTACCTTGGAGAATTCCCAGCTAAAGATACTAAAGGAATCAAGGGTAAGTAAACACTGGTTGTTGTCAGAACTACAGACTTTGGGCAATTGCTTACATTAAGTGGTTCAATCCATTCAGAGCTGTTAATTAAATCCTCTGCAGCACCAGCTGGACCACAAATATATTTTGAAGTATTACTGTTTAGTTAATGCAACTGATGACATGAGCTGAGATGTCCAAACTAGGGAAATATCCATGAACGTTTGGAACAAGGATAGGTAACCTGTTACCCCTGGTGGCTTTTGGACTAAAGCTCCTATAATTCTTGACCACTGACCCGGGCTGAGGAGAACTGTAGGTGAAAATAGCAGAAGGACATAAGTTTCTGCCCTTAGTAAGATGGTGAGACTGGCTGAGAAGAATATTGATTCAAACTGTATGGAGCTTTAGTTTCCTAAGGTCTCAACCCTGGGCCTGATCAACCAGATGAGGATGTAAGGCACAAATTGAGAACAAAAGAACTCCTTAGTAAAAATGTAGCTGACCATTGTAACAATCATTACAAGAATAACCAGTGCACTTTTTCCAGATCTCTCCTTCACCAGACAAAAGTACTTCTATAGAGATTTCGAACAGACGTACAGTCTAAAATCAAGAAAAACTGTGGGTTTTTTTTACAATTATTATTTAATTCCTATCTAAATTGGTCACTTCCTCTGGGGCAGATGAATCAGTTAAAGGGGTAGATTTGCTGAAATTGCTGGAAACTCCAATAAGCTTGAACAAGAGGATGATTTTTTTTTTTAAAAAAAAAGGTGAAATTTCAACAGCAAATTATGCAAGGAACAGTTAAAACAGTTGTTTGCATGCCTGGTAGTTGCAACTTTTGTCTTTCCTTGGGATATCCTCATATCCTGAAGGAACATACCAAAAGTCCTTGATTCTGGATTTTGAACCCCTCATTTCCACACATTCACTAATTCCTTCCAGTGGTCATGGTTGACATCATCACAAATAGTACTAGTAATGGTATAAGTGATGTATGAGAATTACTCAGTCATGGTCAAATGGAAAGGACTCTCAGTATGAATAGCGGAAAACCCAACCTTCTTTCACATCTCCCCGGTGGCTCCTGCATTTGGTGCTTCCCCTCTCTGAAGTGTCAGTATTCAAATACACAACTTGGAGTTGTGACCTTTTTTGCAAATTTGAGGCAGCCAAAGAAAGGGGCTTTCCATCCAAGTTGTTTGTTCTTAGTAAGCTAGCCTTTAAATACATACCTTGTGGGTTAAAACTAAACTATGAGTAGTCATTCAAGCAGTGGGGGAAAGCTCTTTTTTATTATTTTTTTTAACTTTTTTATAGAGACAATTAACATGCCAGGTTAGTTTCTGAGAAAAGGAGAAAACTTCCCCCCAAGTCTTTAATCTCCTCAGGTAATCAATTTAATTTTTTTTCCCCAGCATGACTGAATTCTTTTCATCCAACCCAGTTCTCTCCTTCAGAGAATTGAGTTTTGACGGATTATAAATATTCTAGGCAAGATTGCATCTCCTGATCTTCAAAAGAGCTTTGTGGTCTGCGGTTTCAGCAGTTGGACAAAAAGATAGAATCAAAAGGGGGAGAGTAAATTAGGATACAGGTAGCCCTCGACTTACAACAGTCTGTTTAGGCCAGGGGTAGACAACCTTGGCTCTTTTATGACTCGTGGACTTCAACTCCCAGAATTCCTGAGCCAGCATGGCTTAGCATGGAAACCTCTCTCTTTCTCCTCAGCATGGCTGGCTCAGGAATTCTGGGAGTTGAAGTCCACGAGTCATAAAAGGGCCAAGGTTGCCTACCCCTGGCCTAGGCCTAGGCCACTTTATGACTCGTGGACTTCAACTCGCAGAATTCCTGAGCCAGCATGGCTCAGCTTGGAAACCTCTCCCTTTCCCCTCAGTATGGCTGGCTCAGGAATTCTGGGAGTTGAAGTCCACGAGTCATAAAAAAGAGCCAAGGTTGCCCACCCCTGGTTTAGTGGATGTTTGAAGTTACAATAACATTGAAAAAAGTGATTTGTGACCATTTTTCACAGTTATGACCATTGCAGCATGATCATGGGATTTACATTCGGATACTTGGAGCCTGGTTCATATTTATGACGGTTGCAATGACCTTCTGATAAGCAAAGATAGTGGGGAAGCCAGATTCACTTAACAACTGTGTTACTAGGTTAACAACTGCAGTGATTCCTTTAACAACTATGGCAAGAAAGATCATAAAATGGGCAAAATTCACTTAACTACTTAGCAATATAAATTTGGGACTCAGTGGTAGTCGTAAGTTGAGGGCTATCTGTACACTCAGTGTACAATCTGTGGTACTTGTTAAATGTATACTCAGACATTCTCCCCATGGTCCACAACAGGGGTCTCCAAGCTTGGCAACTTTAAGACTTGTGGACTTCAACTCCCAGAGTTCTTCAGCTGGCCATGGTAACTGGGGAATTCTGGGAGTTGAAGTCCACAGTGTTAAAGTAGCCAAGTTTAGACAGACAGACGCACACACACAAACACACACACACACACACACACACACACACACACACACACCATGGTCTACAACCAAAGTTACTTCCAATAATCTTTAGAAGGGCAGTCAAGAAAGGTCAGAAAAGTTTCAAATTATCTGCAAGATATGTTTGGCCCATTGAGAAAGAATGAACAGAATAATGGTAGTGCCCTCCAGGTTTTGGGGAACACAGTTCTACGATTCTCTTCTCAGCTGAATGTAATATAGTATTCTTCCTAGCTGATGAAATTGACAGGATAGCAAGCCTGTTGTCTTCAAATATTTTATGCTACAGCTCTTCTAAGCTCCAGCCAACAATGTCCAGTGACTGGAACTTGCCATATCTTAAGTATATCTCCTTACTTTATCACAAGAGGTCTTTTATGTTCGTTAAGTTCCTCTGATTCCCTTTCCTGATAAATACCAAATTCTGGAGTAAAGGCAGAGATTTCACAGCATTGAGCTTCTCTGTGGTGTCATTATTTTCCTCTAATCCTCCTTTTTGCTTTCTCATGGAACCCAAGGTAATAAATTCACACCTCTTGGTATTTCTATTCAGCAATTTCACACTGCAGCCGCTCTCTGAAAAGCCCTATATGGTGCCATCCATTTAAGATCAGTTGTTGACTGATCAATTGGATTTAAAGTGGTTTGAACTCTACTGCAGCCATAAAATCTTCAAGTGAAAAATGGCAACCCATGCCCATAATTCCAACCTAAGGAGAAAGGGAAGTGGGTCTCAGAAAAAAAGAGAACTGTTGCACCAATAAATTAGATTTGCTATCAAGACCCTATTGGAGCTGAATGGCTTCACAAGACAGGCAGCTGTTGCTGGTTTCTGATTCTTGCCAATCAAATATTAATTCTTTTTTTTTCTGTCTTGTGAAACTGGACATTTATTCTATGTGGGATGAGAAAGGGTATTTCTGCTGGATGATAAAATATGTAGCACTAGAGAATGAGTGGGTAAAAGAATCAGTGATGTAGTGGCTGGTTAAATGTAGAGACAGAATTAGAATCTAAGTCACAAGATCTTGGTAACCTCCTGTTCCATTTTCTTTTAAATGGGGGAAAATCTTTGTTTCTTTTCTTCTTCTTAACAGACAGAATTTACCAGTGCAGTGAAGATCAAGTGTTTTCCAGGCCAGACCCAAACCAATAATCTACATTTTAGGAAAGAGCAACATTCAAGTGCCAAGGATGACCGTTGGATTTCTGAATGCAAAGTAGTTTGTGAGCATGTTAATTGCAACCATTACTACAATAAAGCATATTAAAAAACCTTGAATGTTCTGATGCCTTTTGTACAAGTGTTGCACGTTGCCTGACTATTCCTTTGCCAAACAAAAACCAGGTTCATAAATAGATTCACAGCTAATGAATAGGATGACGGGGTGGAGATGATGGAAAATGGTATCTTTCTTGGTTCCTAATACATGTAGTCCTTGACTTACAAGAGTTCATTTCCTGACCATTCACAGTTACAACAGCACTGAAAAAAGTGACTTACGGCCGTTTTCAAACTTACGACCCTTGCAGCATCCTCATGGTCATGTGACCCAAATTCAGACATTTGGCAACTGACTTATATTTGTGACAGTTGCAGTGCCTCAAAAGGTAATCACATGATCAACGTAGTGATCATGTGATCACCTTATGCAATCTTGTGACAAGCAAAACCAATGAACAACTGTGATAATAACAACAACAACAATAATAATAATAATAATAAAGTTGGAACGGACCTTGGAGGTCATCTAGTCCAACCCCCTGCTCAGATAGGAAACCCTATACCATTTCGGACAAATGGCTGCCCAGTCTCTTAAAAACTTCCTGTGTTGAAGCATTCACCACTTCTGGAGGTGGGTTGTTCCACTGATTAATTGTTCTAATTGTCAGGAAATTCTTCCTTAGTTCTAGGTTGCTTCTCTCCTTGATTAGTTTCCATCCGTTGTTTCTTGTTCTGGCTTCAGGTGCTTTGGAGAATAGCTTGACTCCCTCTTCTTTGTGGCAGCCCCTGAGATATTGGAACACTGCTATCATGTCCCCCCTCATCCTTCTCTTCCTTAAACTAGACATACCCAAATCCACCAACCGTTCCTCATATGTTTTAGCCTCCAGTCCCCTAATCATCTTTGTTGCTCTTCTCTGTACTCTTTCTAGAGTCTCAATATCTTTTTTACATCGTGGTGACCAAAACTGAATGCAGTATCCCAAGTGTGGCCTTACCAGGGCATTGTAAAGTGGTATTAACACTTCACGTGATCTTGATTCTGTCCCTCTGTTAATGCAGCCTAGCTCTGTGTTGGCTTTTTTGGCAGCAACTTAACAATTGCAGTGTTTCACTTAACAACTATGGCAAGAAAGGTGGTAAAATAGGGCAAAAGTCACTTCACAAATGTCTCACTTAACAACATAAATTTGCGGTTCAATTGTACTTCTACATTGAGGAGGACTACTTGTATATGCTCTGTTCCATGTAACTATGATTGAATCTTAAGTCGATGGGCCCCATACATATTCTAAGAAAATCAACTGTATGGATACTAGCAGCCCAGTTATTTCGAAAATATTTTGAAAGGGAAATCAGTGATAACAAAGACTGATTGAAACAGCAGGGAACTTCTCAAGTGGTTAGAAATAGTGAGGGAGATAATTTCATTATTTGGCTTCTATGAAATCTTTCCCTCGTGACATGGTCAAATTGAATAGTGAATAGGCAACATCTTCCTGAACTTCTCCCAAGCCCAATTGCACTGCAATGTTTTGCAATAAGACCTGTGACATGGTCACAGTATTTCAGGCGCATCACCATTGACCCCCAACAGTTGACTGCCTCTGTTTTCCAAGAAAATCTCCTGATAGTTAGAGGAGATGACACTTCACCAGAGCTCTTTCTTTTAAAGGTGAAGCTCTCTTGCTCAGAGTTCAAAACAGAGTAACAGAATAACAAGAGTTGGAAGGGATCTTGGAGATCTTCTAGTCTAACCTCCTGTTCAGGCTGGAGACCCTATACCAGGGGTAGGCAACCTTGGCTCTTTTATGACTCGTGGACTTCAACTCCCAGAATTCCTGAGCCAGCTAAGCTACCCCTGCCCTATACCATTCCAGACAAGTGGCTGTCCAGTCTCTTCTTAAAAGCCTCCAGTGATGGAGCACCCACAACTTCTGAAGACACGTCATTCCACTGGTTAATTGTTCTCACTGCTAGGAAATTTCTCCTTACTTCTAGGTTGCTTCTCCCCTTAATTTCCATCCATTATTTTTTTTCTTGCTTTCTGGTACTTTGAAAAATAGGTTGACCCCCTCTTCTTTGTGGCAGCCCCTCAAATATTGGAACACTGCTATCCGGTCATTCCTAATCCTTCTTTTCACTAAACTAGACATACGTACCCAATTCCTGCAACTGTTCTTCATGTTTTAGGTTTTAGCTCCCTGATCATGTTTGCTGTTTTTTTCTGCACTTTTTCCAGAGCCTCAACATCTTTTTTATAAGATAGTGACCAAAACTGGATGCAGTATTCTAAGTATTCTAGCCTTGTTACAGAGGTGACGGATCATGCATATTAACAGGGATGTGAGAATCACATCTGCTTCAACCTGTCCATTCATTGAGCCAGTTTGACTATCAATCAAATTTGGAGGAACTTTGGACAGCCCCAGGACGTAGGACAGAGGTTCTCAACCTGTGGATTGTGACCCCTTTGGGGGTCGAACGACCCTTTCACAGGGGTCACCTAAGACCATTGGAAAACACATATTTCTGATGGTCTTAAGAACCGAGACACCGCTCCTCTATCTGTCTCCAGGTGGTGGGTCTGTCCCTGCTGGCGCGGAGGCTGGGGTCCAGCGGGGTCGGGCGGCGAGGCCAGGTGCTGGCGGAGGAGGAAGGGTGGGCCGCGTGGAGCGAGGCACGGGGCAGGAGGGCAGCGAGGAGGTGGGCACTGTGGCTCCTGCTGCTGCTGAGGCGGCCGATCACGGTGCAGAAGTGCCATGGCATGGAGCGGTGTGGCCGAGGGCAGGCCAAGGGGGAGGTGCAGCCCTCCGCATGATGAAATTGCAGGCGGCGCCTCGCCAGCTCCGCCTCGGCTGTGTAGGGGATGGAGCCACACATGCGCGGCACTCCTTGGCTGAGACGGTTGCTGGGTGATGGCCAACATGCGCCCTCGGCCTGCCCGGTGCATGCTCCAGCGGCAGGAGAGGAGGTGGAGTGCGTGCGCCAGAGAGAGAAAAAGAAAGAGAGAGAGAGGGAGAGAGAGCAAACCCCGCCCCTCCTGCCCCTGCCCGCAGGGGTTGGGGGATTAGGAAGGTTGAGAACCACTGACATAGGAGATTTTGAAAAACAGGAGCTGAGAGATTTTAGTGGATATAGGAGAAGGCAACTTTCGTGAACAGATCCCATTTGTTTGGTAGGAGATCTATGTTATGAGAAGGAAGCTAGATCTTTATTTACATTTTCCTACTAGATTGGAAAGGATTGCATGGTCACCCGAAGTCTTCCAGATTGTCCTGCGTAAAAAAGGAACCAACTGTACCTTTCAGCAGATCAAATCACTGCCAGAGACTTTATCCCATTCCTGTACATTACAGAAACAGGTCAGACAGATGTACCGAAGTCTGTTTTGCAGGATTGGCAAAAAGTTTTCAGACTTTAATTTGCAGAGCAGAAGCAACACATTTTCTTCCTCTCTAAACTTAAGATTGCTGACAAAATAAGCTTGGAGCAAAACCAGCAACAGATAAATAAGCAAAAGGAATTTGTGACCTTGGTAGTGGTCAGGGCACATGCTTGGGAGAATCAGAAGAAATTGCAAAGTAGATCTTGCCAGCCCAAGGCTGTATAAATGTTATGTTCTCTTTTCCTTCCCCCCTAGCACCTGATAGGATTGATGGGGCTGAGTAAATAAGAAGAAAGCATTTTAGGACTGTCAAAATACTGTTTGCTTTGGAAAGCAGTGATTTTGCAAGATCTGGAGCAGAGAGAGATGGAAGCCTACGTAGGAATGGAGATTGCAGAATGGTATGAAAAGTTGGGTGTAATATAGCCCCAAAGCTGCTTTTTCAAAAGGCAACTGGGCTTTTGTTTTTCTTTGAAGATGTTTCGCTTTTCATCCAAGAAGCTTCTTCAGTTCTTTGGTTTCCAGAACTTTAAAGAAAAACAAGAGCCCAGTTGCCTTTTGGAAAAGCAGCTTTGGGACCATCCTCATCTGGCTGACTTGAGAATCTCCCTAGACATGTAATGTGGTCCAAACTTCTCAGAATTTTCTACATAGGGTGACATCCAATCTTTCCAACTCTTATCATTCCATGAACTTCCTTAAATTGGAGATTAAAACTAGAAGTTTCCACCTACAAAACTCTTGTCAGTTTTTTTAAAGGAGGTGATTGCAGCCAACCCAGATATTCTTTAGTAACTAGAATTTTCTTAGATTGTCAAAGGTGTACCGTTCAAGCAGCGGGACCTCATGAAGTGTGCCTATAGAAAAGGCAAAGCATGATATACAGGCAGGAGGGATTTCCCTTCCCCCCCCCCCATGTGCATTGCTATACCATCACAGTTTGCTTACACAATGATTTCTGGTTCTCAAAGTGCTGTGATTCACCAGTTCTATAAGATGGTTCAACAAACTGAAATAGAATTTGGGAAGTTTCATTTCTGAATAATGTTTTCCTTGTGTAAAAAAAAAACTAAAAAAAGGGGGGGGTGATGGTGGAGGGGGATTTTATTTCCGTGCTGCTAGCTTTCTATTGCAGGAGTGTTCAACACTGTCACGGCTACCCCACCCAAGCAGCACTTAAAGAATGCATATAGCGAGGGCAGAGTGTAATAAATAGGCAGGAGGGATTGAATTAGGCAATTCTAAAGCTGTGGCTTCCTGTATTGCAAGCTGTCTGTTAGTCCTTTGAAACAGTCCAGACACAAAACACAACAATGAACACTAGCTCTGTCTTTATGGTAAGCTTACATTAGAAGACTCTTGCAAGGCCGAATGTATTTCTCCCCTCCTTCCTTTTAGCGTCTGGAAAACTAGTGAGGCCCTTCTGAAACACTTCCCATGCCCTCTCTCTTTTTGTGGGCTGAGATGTATTTTATATGAAAGTATGTTCACAAGTGTGTTCATTCTGCAGGACTTCCTCTGTCTCCCAATGTCATTCTCACTATACTATTAGTGGGAGTTTCTCTGTGAGATGGGTGGTCTTCGAGAGAGAGAGAGAGAGAGAGAGAGAGAGAGAGAGAGAGAGAGAGAGAGAGAGAGAGAGAGAGATGGATGGATGGATGGATGGATG